TTGGCATATGACTCAAACCAACTGTGTATATATAAATAAATAAATATTCCTAATAGAAATACTAAGACTTACTGAGTTGGTTTTTTATTTTGTTTTTGCTGAGTTGGTTTTGTTCAGGTGATATATGAGCTAGATCTCAGACAGAGTCAGAAGAAGGGATTTAAAGAAGGGATTTATTTCAGGGTAGCCACAAGTGAAAAAAAAGCATGGAAATAACAAAGCGTAATGTGTTCAGAGAAAAGTAGGCCTACGTGGTTGGACAACAGAGATCAAGTGTATGTTGGAGGAGGTAGGGGTTTGGGGGAGAGAAACATTCATGAATAAAAACAGTGTAAGAGATAAAACTAGAGAGAGGCACTTTGGGATTGTATGCCATGTTAAGTAGATTAGATCAGTCATATAAGTCTAAAATTAGATGCATGGTTCAGATGCTAAAATTTAGAAAACAACAGTACAAAGCCACAATATTATAGAGATTAAGCTGAAGGAGAGATATATTAGAGAAAGGGATGGCTGAAAATAAGGAGACTTATCACAAAGCTAGCTGCAAAAATGACCATGGCACAAGTGATGAATCTTCCATAAAGCACTTATTTGATCATCTCACCCCCTCTGGTCAAAAATGACTCCCTAACCTCACACCTGGTTAGCATCCAGGGCCTTCCACAATCTGGTTCCAATTTTTTGTGTAATCTCAACGTGCCCCTATGCATATCCTGAATTTCACCAATAATGACTGGCTATTTTTTCCAAATACATAAAATTGCCTTATACATACACCCTTTTGGGTTTTTTTCCTACCTAAGGGTACAGGATACCCTTGTTCCTGTTTACTTAAGGCCCAACTCAATTATCACCTCATTTCTCTCTGAACTGTTATAAGCATTTTATCCATATTTTCTACATTTTATATACAGCCCACTGGGTCTTCCCAAGGGCTTGGTACCTAGCAATAACTGTTTTGAACTGATCTGTGTCCCCTCAAAACTCCTAAGTGACTGTATTTGGAGATAGGGCCTTTAAGGAGGTAATAGGGCACTAACCCCACAAAACTGTTGTCCTTGCAAGAGAGACACCAGAGATGTTTCTCCCTCTTCATGCACAAAGAGGCCATGTGAGAATGCAGTGAGAAGGTGGCAATCTGCAAGCCAAGAAGAGAGGCTTACCAGAAACCAATCCTGATAGGACTTTGATCTTGGACTTCTAGCTTCCAGAACTGTGAAAAAATAAATTTCTGTTGTTTAAGCCACCCATTTGTGGTATCTATTATGGCAGCCCTAACAAACTAATACATATCCAATAAATTCTTGCTGAATATTAAAATGGGATTCCAGACATTCAATTTTAAACATTCTTTTATGAACTTTATTTCATTTTGGAAACAGGATATTTTCTAGGAGTGCTAATGCCAACTTTCATAATAGAAAAATAAGAATTCCAGCCCAGCCAGTGTGGTTCAATGGTTAAGCATTGACCCATGCACCAAGAGGTCACCAGTTTGCTTCTTGATCAGGGCACAGACCCAGGTTGTGGGTCAAATCCCCAGTGGGGGGCATGCAGGAGGCGGCCAATCGATGTCGTCTCTAATCAATGTCTCTATCTCTCTCCCTCTCCCTTCCTCTCTCTCCAAAATCAATAAAGGAAAAAAAAAACTTGTGTTCCAAAAAAGAAAAAATTTAAAATACTTTAAAAACTCTTAGATTTTAAAACATACACCTATACCTTGGCCAGGCAGCTCAGTCAGTTAGAGCATCAGTCTGATGCGCCAAGGTTTCAGGTTCAATCCACAGTCAGGACACATACAAGAATCAACCAATAAATGCATAAATAAGTGGAACAACAAAACTGATGTTTCTCTCTCCCTTTCTCTCTCTCTCTCTCTCTCTAAACTCAATAAAAAAAATAAAACAAACAAACCATGCACCTATATGGAAAAATATCAGAGCACTAGTTGTCAGAGGGAAGAGAGAAGAAGGATGGGGCAGGGAATGACTGGGAAGGGACATGAGGAAACTTTCAGAGATAATGATATTATTCTCTATGTTGGTGGAGGTGTATGTAAATGTCAAAACTCATCTAATGGTACACTTAAGATTTGTGTATTTCACTAATGCAAATTTTATAGAAAGCAAGCAAAAAAATACTGAACTCTAGTTAATGATATGCATGATGACAGACATGAAGTATATGGATGTCTACAACTTAGTCTGATGTGTATTAAAAAAATAAAAGGTGGCCCTGGTCTATGTGGCTCAGTTGGTTGGAGCACTGTCCTATGCACTGAAAAGTCACGGGTTCGATTACCAGTCAGGACACATACCCAGGTTGCAGGTTTGATCCCCAGTTGGGGTGCACACAGTAGGCAACCAACTGATGTTTCTCTCCCTCTCCCTCCTTCTCTCTAAAAAAACTAATAAATAAAATAAAAATAAAAATGTGGATTGATGGCCCTGGCCGGTATGGCTCAGTGGTTGGAGCGTTGGCCTGTGGGCCAGAGAGTCCCGGGTTCGGTTCCCACTAGGGGCACGTACCAAAAAAAAAAAAATGTGGATTGATGGATAGACAGATTGGTATTTGATAAATATAGCAAATCACTGATTACAGAATCTAGATGGTGGGTACATAAGTGTTCATTGTACAAGTCTTTCAACTTTTCTGTAGTGTTTGAATATTTTCATGATAAAATTCTGAAATAAAACTAATCTTTAATAAAAAATACATACATGGGCTCTCTAGCTGCTGACAATTCTTTGTTTCCTACCATAACCATCCCCTTCCCCCTATCTCTCTTACACACAGACACACACACACCCCCCTTTCTTTTTTCACCCATACATTTCATTCCAGCACTCTCTGCCTCCTGCCAATGTCCCCAGCACTCATGCCACAAACTACCCCAGCAAGAATTTGAAGTCTAACAGTAAACCTCCCTCACAGTACTCCTTCAGCTCAGACTTTCTAGAAAGATCCCTTTCCTTTGAAATCTGCATGTTTAATTGAACTTTGTGATTTTATTTTTTGTTTCATATAAGTTTAAGAAATGGAAAAAAAATACATACAAAAAATAAGAAAAAATGGAAAAAATATCAAAAGGAACACACACAACATGACTTCTTGTTTTCTTTGACAGTATTCAGTGAAGTGCTTTTCACATTTAGGATACTTACAAATGTAATGGTTGCATAGCTTTAAAAAATTTAAACTTTGCTTAATAATTTGTGAGTATGCCAGTTAACCATGCTTTACAATTTTACCAAATTCATCTAAATCTAAATGCTACACTGACATTTTACGGTACCTTCACTTCTGTTCTTGTGTGTCCCTGAGGCAGTCAGGGAAAATGTTCTTATTGACAATGAGGTTAAATGATGTGCCAAGGCCGGCTCTGGAAAACCAGTCCTTCTGGCTTTTAGCCCAGAATATTCTCCATTATAAACCACACATTTGGAAAAGTCCTAGAGAAAGTATCCAGAAACTTCTCCCAGGTTTCACTAATGAGACTTATTTTACGATCTTTTCTATGTGAATGGAATGGTTCTGCAAGACAGTTTTGCTTTTGCCCCACTTACAACATTTTATGACCTTCGAAAAGAAAAAAAATCAGTGTTTTAACAGCAAAAATAGATCCTCTGAAATTTGGTTTGAGAGATTCAAATAACTAAAGATGGAAGAAATTTTAAATGTTACTTAACATACTCTTATTTTACAGATTCAAAAGTTAATTTCCAAAAAAATTAAGTGATTAGCTCAAGGTCTCAAAGCTGTTAATGGCAGAAGCAGTACCAGAACCCAAAACATCTAACTCTACAACCAAGGCTCTTTCTCATAAACCGCAAAACTATCATTGCAAAACTATCTGAGAGTATTAACTCATTCTAAAGCATCTTACTAATGTGACAAGATTAAGGCCACGAATGGGCAATAAACCTTAAACAGTCCACATACTTTAGAATTCAACAGTTTTTTATCCTACTTAAGATTTTTACAAATGTTTGTATTTGTTGGACACGTGGATCACATTTGAAGTCAGCTGCTGTGCTGAACTAGTCTGAGAAATAGCTGAAGTGGTGAAGAGAATGCAAGTATGACCCCATATAAAAAAGACCCCACATAAAGTTCTTTGGCCAAATGACGTTTGTTTGTCAAAGAATTCAGTCTGTTTAGTTTATCTTCAAGGATACCACTCCCCACAAAATGGCTCAAAACACAAAGCTTACTACAGATAGGTCAGTGACACGTGAAATGATTTTGCAATACCTTTAGTTAAAAATACATTTGTACGGTCATGATTTTTTAATTCAACTCTTTATCTAGACAGCAGCACATTTATTTGTGCCTACATTGGATCAGATAACTTTCATTGCAACTTGGTCAAAATCCAAACCCCTGTTCTTCAATTCACGGGTTAATATTTAACCCTAGACCTCTGGTGTTTGAATATATAAGATACAGCCTTTTTCTTAAATGTTAAATTTTCTCTAATGCTTAGAAAGGCAGTAGCCAGGGCAGGTATTAGAATCAATCGCCCTTCCAAGACTCCAAAAGTCATACCCCACCAAAACAGTAAAATTTGCATCATGTTGTTTTGTTTTATCACATCAATAAGCTCTCCTTCACTTTTTAAAAAATCTCCTACAAATGCCCACCTTAAAATACAAGTAGAATGATAGAGGCTAATAACAGATTTCGGTGGATGACTAAGATTGTTACAGTCACTACCCACTGGGCTCGAGCTCGGCTTCACCACCGAGCATCCACCCGGAGTTTCCCGTGCGGCTGCTCGAGGCCTGGGCGAAGCAGGGAGAACCATGACCCCCAAGGAGAAGCCTGGCTCCCTAAGTCCAACCCCGCGCCCCCATGACCTCCAATAGCTCGAAAAAGGAGCCTCGAATTGACTGCTTCTTCCACAGCTGGTCCGCACTCCCTCCTAGGCCAGAGGAGGAAACAGGGTCCGGGGACAAAAGAAAGGACACACCAGCCACTGGGGAAAACCCCATCACCTGGAACTCGGCGAACTCTTCACAGTTCACACCGCCACTGGGCGCCGCCATATTGGACAAACGCGAGGCCCCCGCCGCGAGCCAATCACCACGGAGCAAATGTGTCCGCGGCGCTGCCTGACAAAATATTTTTAAGAGAAATCAGTGAGAAAGCTGGGCACTAGCCTTGTTTTCCCCCTAGTTTTCATTCATTTCGAAACCTGGAACTCTGCTGTCCTTCTTTTCTACTCCTACCCCTCTAACAGGTAACTTTCATTGCAACTTGGTCATGTCCTCCTAGAACTGACCCGTGTGCTTGGATCGAAGACTGTCAGAACTTGAAGGGATCGTTTTACACTGATCCCATCTTCTTAAAAAAGGAGAACGATTTCCTGGTCGCACTAACCAGGTCGTTCAAGGAGGAAACCTGGAATAGAAGTGATTTTTTCTTGACCCTCCCACCCCATTATCTACTTCCAGTCTCTAGAGCTGAGGGACCTTCGTTTGTTAAGAATTCAGGACCACAAAGAAATGTAAAAAAATAAAATACATTTCTGGCAGTGTAGGTGCATAAAGGTCGAACGGGTGTTAGGTGTGTAAATATTTAGTTTTATAAAAATAGGTAAACAGAAATAGGAAATATACATGCTAGTTTCTCAATGAGCTTGAGAGATACGCCCAAAGCCAACAAGAGCTGGGCCCAAGTTACGTGTTTTTGATAAAGGCATACACTCATTGAAAACACTGTTAGAACAGTGTACTGAAATACTAATTTACCTAGACAGTGTAATTTCGGGAGCCTACAGCTCGCAAAAGTTCTACAATGAGCAGACTACTTTTCTTCTATTTTAAACGAGTACTTTCTTAGAGGCAAAGAATAATACTGTAAAGGCCCATTCTGCCCATATTCTACAAAAACATTTTAAGGACACGTGGAGGACGCCAGGTGGGATCTGAGGAACACGCCACTCGTACATTCTGCACGTAACGCACGTCCCTTGTATTGGGCAGGTCCCGACCGTAAGCCCCGCCCACACGCCCAGAGCGTCACGCACGACCCGCTCGCTCCGCCCTCACGCCCTGCAAGCCAAAGCTGCCTGCGTCCTTCGCTTCGCGGCACTCAGTGACATTGAGTGCTCCCACGCCACCGCCTCCCCTGAGGCGCTGTGCTGGTCGGCGGAGTAGGCGGCCATGGGGAGCCTCCGCGGCCTGCGGCTGGCGGCGGGTGAGACGCGGGACCGGCTGAGGGAGGGCGGGAAGCCAGCTTGGCCCCTGGGGTTAGAGAAATCCTGCAGCCTGCTCGGGCCTGGTGGTTGCTTCGTGCCTCACGCAGTCCCCTCAAGTTGCTTGGAATTCTACCCGCTTAGTAGTTGTAGTAAGGGCTGAGCGAGCAACTGCTTAGCAGACACTGGGCGCTGGCCCCGAGTGACACTCTCACCTGCCTCTCCATCCACATAGCTCCCACCAATTTTTTGGGCCCTTGCTCCCCTCATTCCCCGCCCCACGACCACCACCAGCCTCCTCGGAGCTCAGCTCTTAATTCACTCCCCATCCCTAAAACCTCATTGCCTGATTCTTTCAGCTTTCTACCCTAATCTCTCCCTTCCCTCCATTACTCTATTTGTGTCTTGAGCCTCCCTCCTCCCCCATCTCGTGTTTACCTGCTATCAGAAAAGACCTGTAGTCTGGAGTTTCCTACCCATTTAGTATCTGATTAGGCAGAGGATTTAAGGTCTCATCGTTGTTTTCTTTAAGTGGAGGATGCATTTCTGTTAAACAGTTCTACAGTCAAGTGCTTTGAATTTCTTAAAGTGTTACGTAAATGCAGGATCTGCAGTTTGTTTTCCTAGTAGACATTTGTATAATGGATATTTAGAGTCAGAGCTTAATTTACATTCTTGGGGAACCAGCAGAGTTTTGCATATTAGGGGCTAAGAAATCAGCATTTGCCTCTTGGCTCTTTTCTAGACACCAGAACAAATTACTCTTGGTCACCTTTATAATAAGTTTTGATAAGGCGCAATGAAATGTACATTGTAAATGAAATAATATTTTTAAAATGTTATCCTTTACATTATAGTTTATTTTGCATTTCATTGGAGAATGGACTGGAAAACATGTTTCAAACTGGAGAATATTATTCTTTAAAACAATACCCCCTCCACTAAAAGAGAATGATTTTATTGATTTGTTCAGCTTTGTTGAACTAATTTACCTAAAATCTTTTCTATACAGTAGCTCCCCCCTCCCCTTATCTTTGGTTTCACTTCCCAGTGTTTCTGTTATCCATGTGGTGGTCTGAAAATATTAAATGGACAATTCCAGAAATAAAGAATTTACTAATTGGAAGTTGCAGGCCTTCCCACTCCATCTCACCACGGTTTCCTCTCTGAATGCACTACCAGCTTGGTAGTCAGAAGCAGTCTCCGTTATAAGATTGACTGTTGAGGTATTGCAGTGCTTGTGTTCAAGTAACTTATTTTACTTATGGCCCCAGAGCGCAAGAGTAGCCATGCTGGCAATTCGAGCATGCCAAAGATAAGCTGTAAAGTGTTAGTATGTATAGGAAAAAAATACAGTAAATGCAGAGTTCAGAACTATTTGTTGTTTCAGGCATCCACTGGGTGTCTTGAATTGTATCCCCTGTGGAAAAGGGGGGACTACTGTATATCCTTTTAACTGTTATAAAGCTTTTCAGCACGGTAAGTGAAAGAATCATTGCTCTGTAAAAAAGCTAAAATATACTGTGTAAAAGGGACTTTGCATAGGAACTAAGACCGAGTGTTTCTAAGTAGTTCATCTTCTTGCCTTGAGAATATGTTTATGCATTATAAAGATTCCAAAACCTCTCAGCAGACTTTTGATGTTTAAGAACGTCAATATTGGGCACGCAGTCAAAACAAAATTCCATACTTACCTGGCAGGGGAGATACCATGATCACGAAGGTGGTTTTCCTAGAGCGAGGCTTATCCACTGCTCTCCAGATGTGCTGATTCCTGTGATTTCCCCAAGTATGGGAAACTCCACTGCATAATTTGTAGTAGTGGGGGACTGCATTCACCCTTTCCCCAACTTTAAAGAAGAAGAGAAAAATTCCTTGAGCAACTGAAGAGGAATTTTACTCCATATAGATCCACTGAAGATGATATATGAACAACTCTTTCCAACTGATCTCTGTCTGATGTTTTGTGAGCAAGTCCAGATCATTTGCTTGCCCACTTTTGCCTATTTTATATCTAAATACATTCACATACTCTATTTTATTTGACTGATTTCTCATAGTAGCCTTCTTAGGTAAGTCTTATCATCCCCTCTCCATTTTATAAATGAAGAAACATAGGTCAGAGGGTTAAATGATTTGTCCAGGACCAGGAGCCAGAAGATGAGCCTGCCCTCTAATTTGTGAACTTGTGCTCTTTGCCTTGTTCAAGCTGCCTATTCACAATAAGTGTGTATATGTATTTGTCATGCCTAATTGAGTCACTCTGATGTGTAGTGAGAGTCATGAAATGCAGATTTACTTATGAAAAGGAGGCACACATCCATATGCAGTTGGATTTTCAAGTAAGAAGACAGATATAACAAGCATCCTGAAACAAATGATGTAGTCTGTCCTATCCACAGATTCAACCAAGTACCAATAGAAAATACTAAAAAAAAAGTTACCTCATTGTTGATGTGTACTGTGTAATTAGGTGTATGATTATATCTATACTGAACATGCACACTTTTTTCTTGTCTATTTTCTAAACAATACAGCATAATAGATATTTATATGCCATTTATGTTGTATTAAGTATTATAAGTATTCTAGAGGCTATTTAAAGCATTTGGGAAGATGGGCATAGGTTATACAAATACCATGCTATTTTATATAAGAGACTTGAGCATCCTTGGATTTTGGTATATGAGGGGTCCTGGAACCAGTGTCCTTCAGATGCTAAGAGATGACTGTATAACTCATTTATCCAGAATATTACTTGGAATAAGGTATTGTAGGTGAGTGAAATTTCGAATAACCAAAGCCTAATTCTTTAAATATGGCCCTTCGTTTTTCATTGTTTCTGTTGGAAATCTTTGCTATACTCCCTTAGCAAACAGAATATGGGCTTTTATGAGCTTGAATTTGTTTATTGTTTTGTAGATATAGGTGAGAGTTAACTTGCAGTTCTTAGACCACTTCACAGATGAGAGGTCTTGAGAACCTGAAATTATAATATATATAATGTAATATAGAATTATATTCAAATTTTTGTTTACGTACCTGTTTATACAGAATTCATAGCTTGCGTCCATTACTCAGATCAGTTTGTACACTTTAAGTTTAAAAGTGTTGATACAAATATTTAGAACTTAATACTGACCCACACTAGTTTGGGTTTCATGAGGGGAATGGCTGCATCTGTTTTGTTTTTACTAAATCCTCAGCCCTGTCTAGGTCACAGCAGACAGGCAGTAGATATTTTGTTTGGATGAGAGACACTAGAAAGTATCTTGGAACGTGCTGCAGATAAAAGGTGAGTTATTTCACCTCTTTTCTGAAAGTAGAAGAAAATAGATATAACCTTCAGGACCCTGTATCTTTCTACAGAATAATTATTAGGTCAAAGAAATGGAAGGGCCTTATAAGAATGTTTCTTCACACCTTCAGAAGGTTTTACTGCCCTAAACTCCTTTGACTTATCAGATTTTAAAATGAATTTATTATTACATTTATGCTAATGCAATGGACTATGGGTTGCCTTCTTGTTATTTTAACCTACATTGCAGAGCATTAGAATCAAGAGGTGTCTTAGAAGTCCTGTAGTCCAGCCCCCTAGTTTTAAAGATGAAGGAACTTAAGGCCCAAGAAGGAAATTGAGCCCAGCCAGTGTGGCTCAGTGGTTGAGTGTCGACCCATGCACCAAGAGGTCACCAGTTCGAGACCCGGTCAGTGCACATGTCCAGGTTGTGGGCCAAATCCCCAGTGGGGGCATATAGGAGGCGGCCAATCAGTGTTCTCTCTCATCAGTGTTTCTGTCTTTCTCTTCCTCTCCCTTCCTCTCTCACTAAAAAACAGTCAATAAAGAAAAAAAAATTTTTTTTTAAAGAAGGACATTAACTTGCCAGGAGTCATACATATACAAAGGTTGGCCATAACTAATATCTCCTGGCTCCTATTCTGATTTTATTTTCACTATATTGTTTCTTTTGTTTGTTCTTGCTAACCAACCCTAAATGAGTACATGCCCTTTTCTACTGCTCCAGTCTTTGGCTTTGCCTATCTCTTCCTTCAGGTCTTGCCAGCAGGTTTTATTAAGCACACACTTTGTGCCCTTTAGACTATGAAAGCTCTGAAATGAGGGAACTGCTACTCCTAGGGTTGGAGTTTGTTGTAATTAACAAACATACATGTACAGTACACCTGGGGAGTTTCTACATGACAATATGTTAAGTTCTGGATTACAGAACAGGTTTCCAGTTCTGTGGTGCCCTAGAGCCAGTTCCTAGTGGCTTTGTGCACATCTCTCACCAGTTTCACAATCAGTGATGTTACGTTGGTAGCTTGAAGTCTGCCATGGTGAGGGTTATTGGCAAACACTACAAATCAGGGCTTATCCCAATTTCACAATTAGTGATGTTACGTTGATAGCTTGGAATCTGCCATGGTGAGGATTATTAGCAAACACTACAAATCAGGGCTTATCCCTGCTGGCCCCCTCCCAAGAGCCAGCATTCCATAGGCTTTGAAAATTCAGAGAAAGGAAAAATAGTGAAGATCATGATTATCTACTGAAGGCTCCACTGAAACAGAAGGGATGGGAGAGTTACATGAGTAAAGTAGGGGTAGTAATGAGTCTGGAGAGCTTATTGTGGGGGTGAAAGGATGGTAAGGAGAAAGGATTACCTTGGATTTTGGTCAGGAGGGAATGGGAGATAAGGTATAGTCTTTTGAAGATTTTGAATCAGATGAGTTTGGACAGAAAGGAAGCCTTTGAGAAGTCATTAAAGAAAACATTTTTCAAAAATTGACATGGCTACCCTGGCTGGTTTTGCTCAAGGTTAGAGCATCGGCCCATGGATCAAAGGGTTGCAGGTTCGATTCCAGTCAAGGGCATATACCTGGGTTGCAGGTTCAATCCCTGGCCAGAGATCAAACACGAGGTACATGCATACCCTCGACCAGAATCGAACCCATGACTCTGTGGTCTGCGGACTGATGCTCTAACCGCTGAGCCAAACCAGCCAGGGCTGGGAAGTGTTTTGAAATTATTATTAGTATGACTCAGACGTTTTTGAGCATGGAGGACTGAAGGAGTGTTTGCCCCATCATCAGAAAGAAGAAAGTTGGGAAGGGGTGCTGCTTTGGCAGAGAGGATAGTGCATTATTGAATAGCAGGTGGCACTGAGTTATAGGTGAGGATGGGACCCCTCAGTCAAAGACCTGAGGACAAAGAAGGGGGTCAAGTTAGGGAAATACATGGGAGCCAGCAGTGTGGAGCTGATTATTAGAACAGAATGGAGGAGTCCTCCCTGAGAGGAGTGTGGAATAGAGGCAAAGGCTAAACTTTAGAGGCCTAAGGTGTAACTAAGAGGAAGTGGCAAAGAGGTCGTTAAAGAAGGTAGATCATAGAGGTCATAGATGAAGGGAGAAAATGGTGTAGAATGTCAGGAGGGCCTGAGTTCTCGTAGAAGGATGAGATCAGTAGCCACAGAGAAGGGAAGAGTGGAGTAAGCTAATGATGAGAATCTAAAAAATATATTCATATGATTAGAAAGAGATTACTAATGTTATTAGAACAAATATAGTAAAATGAGTGGGGGAAGAAACATTGTAATAAAATGTGTGGGTGGTGAGGTCAAGGTAGGAGGTGCATGCCACTTATTCAGTCATTTGAGCTATGAAAGGAAGCAGATTAGTATTTTATTTATAGGAGCTGTTGAAAACAAGTCAATATTGTTGGTCCAAGATAGTGGATTCTCAGTGCCACTGTGGTGTGATGAAATAGGAATTCTCATCAACTGTTGATAGAAGTGTAAATCGACTCGACCTTTCTGGAAAACAGTTTGTTATATATAGTAAGAATCTTGAAAGGGTTCATATCCTTTAGCCCTCTACTACATGATTCTATGTAAGACAATAATCAGAAATACCCTCAGAGATTTATGTAGAAAACTGTTCACTGACACATTATTTGTAATTGTGAAAATGGGAGACAAATCCAGCCATAGGGAATGATTGAATTCAGGTTATATGTTTGTTGAATATTATACAGCTATCAAAAGTATTTTTAATTAATATCTAGGAAAAGTGTTTCTGATATAAATAAGATACAGTATTTATTATATGATTATGAAAAATGTTTATGGCCCCAGCTGGGTAGCTCAGTTGGTTAGAGCATCGTCCAGATACACCAAGGTTCTGGGTTTGATCCCAGTCAGGGCACATAAAGAATCAACCAATGAATGCATAAATAAGTGGAATAACAAATTGATGTCTCTCTCTCTCTCTCTCTCTCTCTCTCCCTCTCTCCCTCCCCCTTTCTCTCTCTCAAACTAATAAATAAAATATTTTAAATGTGTATGTTGTATGCAAACATAGGAAAAAGTATGGGAAGAAATACACCAAGTTGTTATTCCTGAAGAGTGTGATTGTGGATGCTTTTATTGTTTATTTTTAAGATTTTTTAAAAATAGATTTTTAGAGAGAGAGGAAGGGAGAGGAAAAGAGAGAAGAAACATTGATGTGAGAGCAGAACATGGATCGGCTGCCTCCTGCATGCCCCCTACCAGGGATCCAGCCCAAATCTCTGGCTGACTGGGAATCAAACTGGCAATCCTTCAGTGCGTGGGACAACTCCCAACCAAATGAGCCACACGGGCCAGGGCTAACTTTTTTAAGCTTCTAAAATTTTTTTAATGGGCAGGTATTAACTTTTATGATTTGGCATTAAAAGGGCAGTGGGGCCCTGGCCGGTTTGGCTCAGCGGTTAGAGCATCGGCCTGTGGTCCAGAGAGACCCGGGTTCGGTTCCTACTAAGGGTGTGTACCTCGGTTGCAATTTGTCCCTGGCCCTGGTTGGTTGTGTGGGT